AAAAAATAAATATATTTGTCAATTTATTAATAATTTTTAAAAAAATTAATCAAAATGCAATATAAGAAGAATATAATACTTACCACCCCTTCGAGGTAGCCATTATCTTCAACCCCTAATAAAATACCCCACCAAGACCGATCAAGAAACAAATGAATAACATCGTCGATTTGGCATAGGTCAGAATAACACCCCTTGCTCCGCTCATGTAGATAAAAATCAATTGCGGTCTTAGCCCAAAGGGTATTATCCATAATTGTGTCTGGTAGTGTTCCCATCTCCTGCTGAGGAATGGTACTGGCCGGTAACTCATACGAAAGCCAACACGCATCCATCATATCGGGCATGGGAGGGGGTTTATCAATATGTCGACATATGATGCCATGTGAATCGGGATCTTGAACGGCGGGCGGGACCACTTGAACGATGACAGGGGCCTCTTGAACGGTGGGAGGGGCTTCTTCGATGATGAGAGGGGCCTCTTGAATGATAGGAGGCGCCTCTTGAATGATGATAAGTGCATCAGGCTTATTCTTACGGAGTCTTGGCACTAGTGGGGTGAACGGAGATGTAATGGCACGTGCACGACATCTGATGCGTGAACCCCGTCGTGCAAGAAAAACCCGACGTAAAGCATCTACCTTATTGGGCCACTGAAAATAAATTCATATAAAAATCAGTAAATAAATAAATAAATAATGCCGAAAAAAAGTTATTTGTATTTTTAGTATAGTATTAAACAAATTTACCTCATTGCGTAGAGTATTAACCTCATTCTGCAACAATGAAACAATCTCGCGTAGAGCGGCAACCTCATCACATAAGGTAGATACCTCACCGCGTAGCGTACCATTGTCATCGCGTAAAAAATCCACCTCACCACGTAAAGATCGAACCTCATCACGCCATGCACCATTATCTTCACGTAAAGTACCGACCTCATGACGCAAAGCACCGACCTCATCACGTAATTCCCCTAACTCATCCCGTGGAGGTGGAGAACAGGGAGATAAATGTCGTGGCCTCTTTTTCGGTCGCCTATCATGAGGTGATGGTGGAGAAGAGGCTCGATGATGTGATGGAATAGGTGATGGTGGAGGTGGAGAAGAGGCTCGATCAGGTGATGGCTCCGGGTGTCGAGCTGTAGAATCGGCCCGATCAGGTGATGGCTCTCGAGGTGGGGCGTGCTCATCATCCGTCCCATCAAAAAATCGCTTACTAGCTTGCCACCAATCAGTGGCAAGCTCAGCCTATGTGGGTGTCAGCCTCTGCAATGGATAGTTGGCCACCTAACAATATAAAAGCTCAAACAAAGTTAAACTTGTACTAGTAATAACTTGTTTATATGGTATTATTTGTGTGTTAACTTACATCATTAATCGTCGTATATGGGAGTAACTCTTCCCAATCCAACATGCGGATCCTCTTCCAGGTAATAGCCCTAGGAATATCATTTGATCTTTTTATCGCATATGTCCGCATGCTGGGGAAAGCCTCAAATATCCAAATCTACAAACAATATAATACACAAACATTAGTAATTGTTAAATAATTAATTATAATTTTGGAAACATTATAATATAGAAATTCTTACCTTAAAGGCCCAAGTAAAGCCTATCAAAGTATATTTAGAACGATCGCCCCGCAAACTTTTTCGGTCCTCAAAGGCAGACGACAACTTCTTCCAGGTAGCTTTCCATATATATGAACCCCACGGAAATAGGTTTCATGCATTTAGGTCTTCTACCAATAATATTAGGTCCTCGGAGATTGGTTGTCTGCCATCTTTGCCTAAAAAGCCGGCATGCAAAAGTAATAAATGGCATACTCGGACAACATTAAGGTCATCCATCCGAGTAAAACCATCTTTATCAAATAATCTCTTCAAGTCATCGACGTGTATACTCGGCTTCGACTTTGCCAGCTCAGGAAAAACCCTATATAACCATGATGGGCGGGCGATATGACTAGTGTACCGACCTACAACATCGTGTCCGAAGCGTAGACCGGTGATTAAGCAAAACTCCTCCCGTCCAAAACAAGTATACGCCGGTGTCGGAGGAAAATGAAACCATATCTCCTCATCACCACGTTGTACCCCCTCGGGTAGATCGTTAGTCATGGTCTGAAGAAACAAATGTATCAACATAACATCTCCACCCGTATGTTGCACTTTCATCCATGGCCCGAAGCAAGTATCCTCAAACAATTTTCTTTGTTGAGGTGTAAGCGTCGACGCAATTTTAGTGGCTAGGCTTAATTTATTCCTTAAGGTCAATGCAGCCGAAAAAAATTTCTACAAAACAATAAACATACCAAGTTAGATATACCAAAAACTACAAATTATACACTATAAACAGACATGATATTCCAAGTCATTATTCAAGGACAACATAAAGAGTAGTAGTTTATTCTTGAAACTTAAATTAGCAACATTGTGAAGTTAGTATTTGTCTTTGTTTTTTGGTTGAAGTAATGCAATTCATTCAAGTTTCAATTTGAAGAATAAAAGAAGTTTCTAAAACTTAAATTCGCAACGCGAAAATGAAAATCGCAACGTGAATTTAGTTTCGTGTTGCGATTTTCATTTTCGCGTTGTGAATTTGGTGTTGCGATTTAGGGTTTCTTCAAGAAAAAGACAAAACAAAGACAAATATTAACTTCACAGGGTTAAAGACTAAACAGTTTACCAGTAAATTTATCATCAATATAAGAAAAATCTAATAATAATACAAAAATTTCAAAATAAAAATAAGAGATTAAAAACTAACCCTCGGTGGTTGATTTTCCATTTCTGACCGTGAATGGTTGTGAGGGTTGCTCTGAGAGATGGAGATAGACGGATTTCGCCGGAAATGGGGACGGATTTCGTCGGAGATGGGGACGGATGTCGCCATAGAGAGTGAGAGATGGAGATGGGACTGAGTTGTGCTTTAGGGTTTTAGGTTAGAGATGACTTGCGATAATAATGTTTACATTTGTGTTGCGAAATTAATATTGTGTTTCGCATGAAAACATTTGACTTTCGTGTTACAAATTTGACTATCGCGTTGCGAATTTGACTTCTGTGTTGCGATTTACAAATTCGCAACGCGAATTCGAAAAATCGCAATGCGATTTACATATTCGCGTTGCGAAATTGGAAACTGGGTTGCGAAATTGGAATTCGCGTTGCGAATTTGTTGGTTATTTTGGCAAATCCAAAAAAAGTTGGTTAAATTCGTATATTATAAGGCATTTTTGGTCACTGAGGTTATTTTCTCTTTCAAATAAAGAAGTTTTGGATTTTGATTTTAAGACTAAATATATAGTTGGACCTTAAATATCGAAACATAATTCAAGCATATAAAATATGCACATAAAGAATTGAAATTAATGAAGGTTCTAACAAGATGATAATTAAAAAAAGGGTAAAGTATAGTAATGATCACTGAACTTTTTTAAAACTTTCATTTAGGTCTCCTAACTTTTAAAACTTGCAATATAATCCCCCAACATTTAGTCCATTTGCAATATGGTCCCTCAACATTTAGTCCGTTTGCAATATGGTCCCCGACGTAACTGTTAGGGGATCATATTGCATACGGACTAAATGTTAGGGACTGTATTATAAGTTTTAAAAGTTGGGGGACCTAAATGAAAGTTTTAGAAAAATTCAGTGACCATTACTATACTTTACCCTAAATTTAATTAAATTGACCTATAATTTTTCATTCGGTCAAACTGCTCCCTTAACATAGAAGATTTGATTAAATTATTTTTGAACTTTAAAAACAAATACAAAATGACTTATAAGTTTAACACGTTAATTTTTAAAATTAAAACTTGAAACCCTTATCCTCTATTGATATTGTCACCACTTCCCGTGGGCGGAATTTAGTGATAGAGTTTTGAGTAACTTAAAATTTAAAAAACTAGAAATTAAAATTTTTAAATTTTTGAAGGGTTCAGTTTATATTTATCAAAAAAATTGGGATCTAACTAATTTTTTTTTTTGAAAATTTAAGAGACTTAATGAGAATTTTTAAAAATTATTGAAGGAATTTAATTAAAAATATTAAAATTTAAATTAATAAAAATTTTGTCTGAGACAAATTAAATCTCTTGACCATTTAAAAGTCTAAATTATAATTTTTCAATTTTAACTTTTAAGGAGTTCTTACCCCACAGATCTGTGTTTGGCACCTCTGTCACTAATCTCAGAGTCATTTTGTGTCATGTTTTTTTAAAGTTATTAAACAATTTAATTGAAAATTTTTAATGATTGATCTAATAAAAAAACCAAAGAATAATTTAAACAAATTACATTTTGTATCACATTTTTTAGGTTTGTAGACAATTTAATTAAAAAAAATTCAAACATTAATTTAATATAAAAAGGGTAAAGTACAGTAATGGTCACTGAACTTTTTTAAAGCTTTCATTTAGGTCCCCAACTTTTAAAACTTGCAATATAATCCCCTAATATTTAGTCCATTTGCAATATGGTCCCTCAACATTTAGTTCGTTTGTAATATGATCCCTGATGTAACTGTTGGGGGACCATATTGCAAACGGATTAAATGTTGGGGGATTGTATTGCAATTTTTAAAAGTTGGGGGACCTAAATGAAAGCTTTAGAAAAGTTAAGTGACCATTACTATACTTTACCCTTCAAAATGATTCTCTAACAAGCTGATAATTAAAGAAAATTAATTCTGGTGTGGTCCAACTGTAAGAGAGCGAAATGAAAACAACTATTGTTGACTTCGGAAACAGCTTAATAATTACGGGTTGGGATTAAACTAATTAATGTTTTAAAATATAACTGAATTTTTTAAATATAATTAACAACACAAAAATAAAATCAAAATTGAGTGACGAAAATCGTAACTAACTCTATTATCATATACATGCTATATAGAATAGAATAGAATTATATAGATTTAAATAGAAAGATGCGAGAGTTTTCAAGTTCGACTAACTAATCTAAATCCAAATTTGTAATAAAAAAAACTCATCCAAATGGAGAGGAAGGAGTAAATAGAACAGAGAATAATAGAAAGCCAAAAGTTGAGCTGAATCTCTCAAGATCTCAAACACCCCTCCTTAATTTGTAGTGAGTTCTTCTGAGTCTGAATTCGCGACTCTTGAGATCCCTTTTCTCAAAATTGATTTCCTTGTTTAACTAATCGTTTCTCGTTGTCTGTTTCTTCTAGGATGGCCGAAGAACGTGTTTCTGCAATCCTGGAGCAGGTACGTGCAATCAAAGCCGACAAAAGTTCATCTCACTTTTTAGATTCGTGGCAATATATAGAGACGCTTGTACTTCGTCTGCAAACTATTCGGTCTAAGATAGATGCTTCCAAGTTCCGGCCCTTTTTGATTCAACTGTTGATGCACGAGATTGATGGTTGTGCACTTGATGAAGTATTATATGATATAGAAGACCTGTTTAGCGACTCTAACACTCGACTGATGAAGGGTAGCTTACAAACAGAGGCGAGTAGGAACCCTAAATCAACCATTAGCATTCCTGAATCAGCAACCACGGCGAGGTTGAATACTGATCCTTTTGATTGGGACAGTATGAATTTGGATACTGATCCTTTTGAATCATCCATTTCTAAGTTGGAAGTAGAGTTGATGGATTTGAGATCTAAGCTTTCTCCTGAACCAGAATCCTTTTTGGTGGAAGTGTCAAAGTTACATGGTATACACGAAGTAAAGAAAGATATAATGGATGTAATTTTGGGTGAAAATAGTGAACAGAGGAGCGAGAACATCAAAACCATCTCTATTGTTGGCATGGAGGGAATGGGGAAAACATCTCTTGCTCAGTGCATTTGTGAAGATGAGCAGGTTGTGGCAAGCTTCGACAACATAATTTTGGTGAATGCTTCGTACGATTTTGACCTACCCAAAATTGCTAAAGCAATCATTCAAGCTCTTGAAGGCTTGAAACATGACTTCTTGTGCATCCTAACATTAGTTCCATTACAAAGTCTTTTAGATAGAATTTATCGAAAGATTGTCAAAAAGAAATCCCTTCTTGTTTAGATGGTGTGGAGAGATATGATTGTGATGACTGGCAAGCACTAAAATCTGTTTTTCAACATGGCATGCCAGAGAGTAGGATTGTAATTACTACTCGTGAGCACAAATTTGCAATAGCAATGGAATCATCTCATATATTTCATCTGAAAGAGTTGTCTGATGAGTTGTGTTGGATGATACTTCATGAAGTTGCCTTCGATGGACTAAATGAAGATAGTCATGAATATGTAGAAGATATCGGATTGGAAATTGCAAAGAAATGCAAAGGATCACCATTTGCTGCAAAGGTTTTGGGAGGTGTCTTACAGCATAAAATTGAAAAAAGAGAGTGGAACAGAGTTCTGGAAAACTTTATATGGGAATCTCCTATGATACCCAAGTACATTTTTAAAATACTATGGCTATCTTATTGTGATCTACCTTGGTCAATAAGGCAATGCTTACTGTATTGTGTTATCTTTCCCAAAAACTTTGAAATGTCAAGAACTCTTTTAGTCCAACACTGGATGGCACACGGTTATCTAAACTCATCCGATGATTCAGAAATGGAGCTAAAAGGTGAAGCGTACTTTAAATGCTTAGTAGCTCATTCATTTTTACAAGATTTTAGCAGGAATGGGTATCCATGCATGGAAGATGCATAACATAGTACACGACTTTGTTCGGTTTCTGTTCCAATCTGAACTAATGATGGAGATTCAATCTGTTGAACATATGAGGTTGGACTTAACTTCTTCTAGGAAGCCAAAGGAGGTCAAATCTATAAAACCTGTGATTTCAGCTGGGGCTCCAAAGCGGATGAAAACTCTTTCTGATTCTGGAATTTCAGTTCTAGCTTCATCTTGTGATCCGCCATCGATTCCAGATTCATCTTGTCCTCCTCTTCCGTCAGGTTCTCCTCTTATTAGCATTCGTCATTTGATATTGATGATTGCTCAGGGAGCTGGTTTCCCCGTGGACATTAGCGGTGCGAGAAATTGCGGACTCTTGTTGCTGTTAGTCAAGGGTGTTTCATAACCAGTGGAGCATTATCTAACTTATTTAAACAATCCAAACATCTCAGGTTATTGGATTGAGCTTGTCTAGCGGATGGCATAATTTTTTGGACCATGTGGACAAGGTAACATACTCCATAAATTTCCCGAAGAAATTTATGAATTAATAAATCTGAAGTTCCTCAGCTTAGCTGGCAGCAAAGAATTGAAGATACTACCAGAAACATTGTGCGACTTGTATAATTTGCAATCTTTGGATCTAGCTGGATGTAGTAGTCTTACAAAGTTACCGGACGGAATCGGGAAATTGATGAGATTGAGGTATCTTTGTACCTGGTATTGCTCTAGTATAACTTTCTATCCAAAAGGGATTGGCTGCTTAACTTCTCTTAGGGAATTAACCAATGTCATTGCTAGAGTTGATCAGAATGATGCAAAGGATCGATTCAGTCTCGGAGATTTTGAAGAGTTGAACCACCTTTGTGGAGATGTTCGTGTGAAACTGGTAGGAAATGTGATCGATGCAGATGAAGCTATTAGAGCCAACCTTTTGAACAAGAAGAGTCTCAACAATGTGAGAATAAATTTGGATGGAGATATAAAGGAAGATGATGTAATGAAAGCATTAAAGTCGCATTCGGAGTTGAAGATAGAGTTCATAGGGTGGTGGTTCTAGTTCAGAAAAGAAAGGATGGTGCAAGGCAACAGGTAATCTCTCTACCTTATTCCCTCTTTCGTTGTTTCTTTACCTTGAATCTTAATTTTAATCAACCTCTTTCTTTTTCGTGTGTTGGAGTTGCAGTTCAGTAATTTTCTGTTGGAGAATGATGCAGTTGTTATTGTGAAACTCCTTACAGACAGAGGATCCACATTATCCAGTCTTGGGAACATGATAGATGAAATTAGCCTTTTGTATCAAAGCTTTCGTACTGTGTTAAGTTGCGTGTGATGGAATTATGGTGCACTCTTTTTAGATTTTCTCTCAGCAGAAATGGTTATGGGTCCAGTGATTTGTTCAAACCAAATTTCAGTTGTGTTATAGTAGTTCTAGTTTCTGCTATTATCATCTAATTAGATGAAATGTTATAAAATCTATGTGGCTGAAGCATGCTCTAAATGAATCACTTCAGTGCTCCAAGATATCTCATTCTTATAAATTCTTATTGTTATTTGCATTCACTTTATTGTTGTCGTTGGTGTTTGTGTTTTTAGCTGCAAGGAAGATGCTTGGTTTTTTATAATTCGCATTTGGTTGTAGTATTTTATATTTCCGTGATGTGCTTATTGAAAGCATTCGTGTTTGTGTTTTGAAATTAGAATTGCTTAATTCTGTTACTTTTCTTGCAGTCCGTCTACTAAAAGATTAGATTTTAGGTGATTTGCCGTCTTCCTGGTCTATCCTTGATCTTATGTTAATAAATAAAGGGTAAACTACATTATTTAGTCACCCAACTTTCAACGTGTTTCTGATTCAGTCAGCACTAAAATGTTACGTTGTGAACTTTTTATTTTTGAAATTAACCTACAACCTTCTTCCGCCCCTCGTCGGTATCCATCTCCACCGTTGTACGACTGCTATTGATACCAAAACATCATCTCTTCCTCAGTTTGTTTCTTTTTTCGAAATCAAAAAAAAAATCAAACTAAAGCTTTGATCTTCTCTTAGTCCAATCTATATTCTTCTTTTCCTCCTCAGTTTGTTTTTTTTTTCGAAATTGAAAAAACTCAAACTAAAGTTTGATCTTCTCTTAGTCCAATCTATATTCCCCATTGACTAATCAACGTGGAATCAGGACATATTGCTTTTCTCCTTCTTGACGCTTTTACTATTCAAATTTGAAAGAAAATACTTCACAGTTGGTGAATTAAAGAGAGTTCAAAATTTTGGGTTGGAAAATTTTAGAAGTTTCTTGTAAAACCATAGAAAAAGAATTTTAACACAATGAATTAACGCCGATGTAACTCTCAAGAACTAACCTAAATGTCACACCCTAATTTAGGGCTTAAAATTTTCTTAAAATTAATTTCGGAGACTAAATTGAAATTTTAACTATATTCGGGCATCAAAGCAAAATTTTGATTAAATTCGGATCCAAAATTAGAAAGTAACTAAAACTAAAGGACTTTTTATATAATTATACCATTTTCTTTTAGGGATTATATAACCCCAAATATGGAAAGTTTCCTCATTTGGAAACCTTATTTTCTCTCTTTTCAAGCTTTTCTCTTTTAGTAAGCAAACTTTAATCGACATTTTATCACCGACCGTTGTTCTGTTTTCGACACCTCCCACACCATCATGGTCCTTGTGTCGTCCTAAGTCCACCGGTGTCTGTTTTGTCTCCGTTTCCTCTGGTGTGTGAACGGGTGAGGAAGAACAAGTTTTGTGACGTTGCGAAATAGAGCTCTCCGCCATTCACCGTTGTGAATCGAACTTGATAAGTGTATTAAAACTCCTTAAATTGAGCATATGAATTTTTCTAGAATTTTTCCAACCCCTGAAGGTCCCGCACGTGCCGTGCTGCCCGTGGAAAAGGTTCACCGACTGGTGGGCTTCTAGAAATGGGTTGACTGACCCGCCTGCCCGATCCGACCAGATTGGCCCAACAACCGAACTGGTCTAGCCCGAACTAAACCAGTCAACTGTTAACCGTTTTCTGATGACTTTTTCCGAAAACCTCCATCGTGATGTTTTTTGACATCCTGAGTTCGATTTTGTGGTTTGTTTTGCCAAATTATGACTCGAAAGTCTCGAATCGAGTCGTTAATCAGAAAATGCTTAGTATTTTTAGCATTTTTGCTTATTTATTTGAGATTTGATTATGGAATTGTTTCTAGTATATATTTTTATGAATGTACTCGTGTTTCCCCCAACCAAAGGTTGATTAGACCCGATGCATCCCGTCCATCAGATCCACACGATCTGCATTCCTCGAGAGTTACCCGTAGGTTTTCGTAAATTGTTTAAATAGAAGTTATTATTATTCATATTAGGATTATGATATAGATTTTTCGATTTGTAGGATCTAGCGCTGCTGCTGATCGTGATCGACAAACCAAGTAGTAAGCTTCCTCATCAGACTACTCAGACTGGTATATGTGTGTTTGTTGAGTTAATCGATCGACGGAATCGGCCAAGAGGGGGTGAATTGGCAATTAAAAATTTCGTGGAAGCTTTTGCAGAAAATTGAAAGTAATTGCACAGCGATTTATAGTGGTTCGACTTTCTCAAACAAAGTCTACGTCCACTACCTTAGCTATCCACACTAAGGATTTTCCAACAAATTCACTAATTTGTTCTTTCTTTTGAGGCCAAAGAGATAACCTTACAAAACCCTCAAGAATATACCCCAATTCTTGAGAACACTCTTTTCCCAAAGAGAAGATTACAAATTTGCAAACTTACAAGAAAAACCTCACAAGGTAAGATGTTTGCACAATTCTAGAACAAGAAAATAACACTCAAAGATAATTACAAATGAGCACAAATGGTGTTCTTGAAAGAAAAATGAATATTGAAAGGAAAATTGACTTGATTTGCACAAACTTGGTGTTTGATGCTTTCTCTCTTGTTTCTCTATGATTTCTTATTGATCAAGGGCTTCAGAACTTGTTTAAATACACCTTGAATCACTTCTGAACGTTAGGGATGATTAGTGAAGATCATATAGCCGTTTTAGTGTGAAAACAATTAATAAAATAGTTTGGAGCGTGGGGGGAATCGGTACCCCCTATGGGGAATCGGTTCCCTAAGTGTAAAATTCAAATATTTCGACCGTTGAACAGGGGGGAATCGGTTCCCTCCGAGCATTCTGGAAATCTCGGAGCCAAACCATTCCATCGGTACCCCCTTGGGGGGGAATCGGTTCCCTATGAGCATCTGGAATTTTTGGCTTTGAAATGGTTCGAAATACTTTGTAAAATTATTTGAAATTGTTTTAAGATTAAAACTTAATTTTACACTTAAGTAAGGATTAAAAAATGATTTTTGAAATATTTGGAGTAATGTTTTGATATTCGAATAATTATATCGAATATACTTAGAAAATCATTTTGGAAAATCTTAAAATTCATTTATCTTAATTTGTTATATCGAAATATCAAAATGTTTTCAACAATCTCCCCCTTTTTGATATAACAAAATATTTTAGTAATTTTAAGATTTTGAAATCAAGTTATGAAATTACTCCCCCTTACTTTAACACTTCTCCCATTTATCATTTTAAAAACACACTTAAAAACACACTTAAAACACACTTCTCCCCCTTTTTGTTAAATCAAAAAGATTCAAAACACACTTCTCCCCCTTTTTGTTAAATCAAAAAGATTCAATAAACGTGAAAAATATTAAGCCAATTGATTAGGTATATGTAGCATAAGCTGCTAAGATCACATCAAGAAAACCGTTAGCCATTAGTTCCATAATCAATATCATAACAATGTGATATGGTAAAATTGGTCATATTACTAATAATGATGTAAATGATGCAATAATGAATAAATCACACCAAACATATAAGTTCACACCATCCATAAATTCAAACAAATTCATAATCCTCAAATTCAAACATCCCAAAATATTCAAAATGTTAAAACAATAGGTTTGGAAAACAAAGTAAAACATTTATCATATATCCGATCAGGAGGAGGAAAACGAGCTCGCATAGCTGCCATTTCGTAGTGAGGTCATTAATACGTGCGTTGGTTGCTTCATTATTTGCACGCATTTCCCGAAGAATTTCTAATTATTGAGCTCCCATTATGAATAAATGGGACTCTATAGAATTAAAGCGCGAATCCATGGTCTCATATCGGTAATCAAATGTCTCCATAAAAAATTGAAAATATGGAGCATTTGAGTCGATTGTTGTGCTTGCTCTTCGGGCTGCTCCTCGGCCTGCTCAGGTTCATCTTCAACTTCATCGAGTCTCGCATTAGTTGCTCAAGCTCGAGATCTTCGTCAGCTTCGGTGGAGCTTGTGAAGAACTAGCTCCCGGAGTAGCTGCAGAAGATCGAACCCTTCCCCGGTTTCCTATCCTTAATCCATCCCGCTCTCGTTAAGGAAAGAAGGTTAATTTGTTTCTTAAGAGGAAAAACGGCATCTAGACCGACTCTAAGCCCAACTTTGGAAACAGATTACTCAAAATACAACCGTAAACAAGAGATGAACAAAGTTTTTTATTAGGAACAAGATTTACGGTTTCAACAATTTCAGCAAAAATAATCTGAGGTAGGTTATTTAATATTGTTTTCGAAACAATGTAACCACCAAAGATCTAAGGCTCTAAGAGTAATAACGACCTCCAGATGGTCGAAACCACCAAAGAAATCATTAGATGAAGAAAACGTTCATGAAGGTCTAGACACTTGCACTATCCCTTCTTTTGTAACGAGATCCTAAAACCTGTTTTTCATTTGAATCCCTTCATTATCTAATCCGAATGTATTGGCTATGTAAGCCGAGTCAATATATAAGAATTGTCCTAGAAGGTAGAACGAATTCCTATGGTTTCGGTTCAGTTTGGTCTTTAACACAAACGGCATTAGAATAGAAAATACGAACAGTTGATGGTAAACGATGGGTTCAAGGTCAAAGAGTTTATCAAATTTCCACTCTTGTAAAAGAGGAAGATATTTAAAATTGATAGCTAACATAGCTTGACGAGAAGGAATACGTTCTTCCCGGATTTTGTAAGAGTCGAAATATTGATAATACCAAAAACGATGATTTCTAGGACCATGATGATTGAAACACGAATTTTGGATAGTCAAATTAGGATCAATAGGATTAGGATTAGAAATTGGAATAGGTGGAGGATTTGGAGGTGGATTTGGTTGTCGGTGTGACGACTAGATGAAGACCTAGCACGTTTAGGATTAGACATGGTGAAGGAAATCGGAATAGATTGGATACCTGCAATTTTAAAAACAAATGTATGCATTCAATTAATCCC